AAACTTTGTTAACCTAACAATCAGGAAATTATGTGTTCCAGTTCTCAATTTAAAGAAAAAAGGAATGTGTAAAATTTGTTTGTAATTATAATTAAGTAAAACAAGCTTACGATAAGACAGCGAGAGACATCGTCAGTAATATTTGATCACATTTCTGAATCACCACGTTCACAAACCATACGAGTCCCAGAAGAACAGGGACACAAAACTATACCAGAAAGTTCGGAGATCTTCCATGTGTCGGTGGTAGAAGGTTTACCGGTACAATATTATCGTGAAATAGTAAAGACTGCCAGATAATTTATTTGCCGAGCTCAGTGGTTGGGTAATCAAACTCCAATCAAATCTATCCAGATGAAGCGCTTAGTGCGAAAGCGTTTGTCCGGAGGTCGATTTGTCTTGTGAATACGCAACAGTAAGGAATATTAACCTTTATCGTGATAAGAGATTGATAAAAATCCGCCAATGTCTGTAGAAGCGAAGAATAAACAGAAGAAGTCGATAACCCTCGAAGAGGAGAGCAGCAAAAAACCCTTTCCCCGAATTTGGAACTGAGATTATATATGTTAAGAAATGGGATTGGTTTACATGAAGAATTTAAGTATCGAAAACACACCGGAGATTGTACAAGCATTATAACAAGATTAAACAGAATGATTGACATGGAAAATTAAGGGTTTAAACATAAAAATGCAAATTGGTTAGGTAAGATAACAACAAAAAAGTATGAGGAACAATTTTGAGGAATGTAGATATGTTAAGAGTGATTCATAGTATCATTAGCATTAATTTACAATGTGAATTTTATTTGAGGTTTCGTTTTCACGACAAATATCAAGAGCTATTCAAGAGGTGGTACCGAAAATCTAGCCGTACACATTAATTCGAAATGCAGACAGGTCGGTTACAACTGGTAAATTTAAACTTATATTTTATTAGTGTTTTGAAATTTATGCGGATTATTTGTACGAATTTAGAAACGTATAATACATGTTGTATTTTCAGAATGCAGCTGTGCCCTAATGAATTTGGGAATCTAAAAGGATAACAAATTCATGCCGCCAAAATGCATAAACAGAATGGTAAGTTTAACTTTGGAAAGTAGTGTTATTGCTTAGATTAAGCACACTTTTTTAAAGGAATTTTTTTTCAAGGCGACTTTATCCGGACATTTTAAATACAATTCATCTGCTTCAAACTTGTGCAAAAAATGCGGCCATTTCATCAACATTTCCGGTCCGATGAAGAAATCCTAACCAGCTCCATTCTGGAGCTCCATTCTTTGGTTTAGTGCCAGAAGGCCACAAAAGCCGTAATGAATGAAATAGATGCAAAGCGGAGACAGCTCGAGCTAGTGGCTAGAAACGATGAGGAGGAGCACTATTATATTCCTGGCAGGTTAAGCATTTTCTTTAAAAAAAGTTACACCAAATGCAAGAAATTTTTTTCCTTTTTCCAAATGTAACATTTATGTATTCCTGTACGTAAACTCCAAAATATATTGTCATCACAAATTGTGTCATTTGTGAACAACATAACATAACATTAGCACATATAATCAACAGAGATTTGACTAGAAGAGCCATTAGGACATCCAATTACAAGCACTGATTAGAAAAGGTTTAACTTCTTTTTTGCAGTCATTTATTTTGTTGTAATGAAATATCAAATATGCTAATTATGTAATCTAAGCGGCAATTTGAAGAGTTTTAAAAGCAGATCATCTTTTTAATGTCTTTACTATTTTGGTGTGCTATTCAAATGAGAAATTATAAGCAAGAAGCAGCAGAACATAATGTTTTTTTTTTTGACAACAAATGATGGAACATTCAAAAACATTTTGGGCATTGAAAGTTATGTCAGTCCAATATATATATTTATATATACGTATATATATGCATATCTTGTTATTTATTTGTATAGTAATTCAAATGACTCTATTCTACATGTATCTTGAAAATGTCGCTGTAGTTCTTGTTATTTCATCATATAAATTGTAATTTGCGAAAATGTTGTAATAAGTAAAAGTTGCAAGATACTACTACTAGCTATGTAATGATAAAATACTGTTTTTTTTGGTATGAATATACAAGTAAACCATTAATTGCTATGAAACAAATCATACACATGAAATGTCAGGAGCTGTCGTGAATTTTTGTTGAAGTAATTTGCAGTCAATCAATAGTTGGAACAAGCAGGGGGATTTTACACGTTGGTTATCGAGGAGAATTGGAGGTCCCTTGGAGTATTAGCGGCACCACTTTGATGTGGATGATG